ACTTGAAAAAGCATTCCCTTGTTCTCCAGGTGGGCGCCTGATTGCTGAACTTTGAAAAGTATTCCCTTGTTTTCCAGGTGGGCGCCTGATTGCGTCAAACATGTCTGGTGCCTGCCTTTCCTTGAGGTGGGTTTCTCCGAAACGAACAAATTTTCTGCCCCTGTTTTAATCAAAGAAAAATCTTGTCAGTTTAAAATGTGGTGGTTGGTTTGTGGCCTAGACTTTGAGAGTGATTGCTCCTTCGCTTCCCATGATGACTGACTTCCACTCGAGGACCTTGCTCGTTTATGGACTAACCCTTTTCTCTGTCGTCCCCATCACATAAAATTCCTTTTCTCCGTTCGGACCCAAATCTTCTATTTGTTGCATTGCATGAACTGGTGCCTCCCCAATCATTGTGTCTCATATGAACCCCAAAGCACGTCTATTGCCCCCACTCCGTGTGTATGTTGTTCTTTCTTGACTTAAACCATTGGCCTTGGCCTTGAGGTCTGTTGCTCCTTCACTTGCTATGACAACTGATTTCCATTCGAAGACCCCGCTTGTTCCTTGACTAACTACTTCCTTTGTAAACCTTAACACAGAAAATACCTCTTCTTGCTCAAACCCAACACCTTCTATCTGTTGCATTGCTCCTAAACAGACATTTACCAACCTTTGTGTCTCACATGAACCCCAAAGCACGACACTTCTCACCCCTTCATTGCGTATGCTGTTCTTAAACCCCTGGTCCTGTCCTTAAGGTCTACGGCTCCCTCATTTGCATTGATGACTTTGACTTCTGCTTGGAAAGTCTTGCTCGTCACTGGTTTAACACCCTTTTATCAATCTTATCACAGGAAATACCTTTGAGCTGTTCACCCAACCCTTCATCTGTTGCATTGTGCATTAAGATATACCAAGCCTTTGTGTTTCACATGAGCTTCCAAAGCATATTGATTGTTACCAACTATCGCGCATGTTGTTCTTTCCTGATTTAAATCACTGGCCTTGGCCTCGAGGTCTATTGTTCCTTCACTCGCCCTGATAACTTTGATTTCCACTTGAACACCCTGCTTGTCACTGTTCAACCACCTTTTGTCACTCTTACCACAGAAAATATCTTTGATCCGTTCACCAAGCACCTTCCATCTTGTTGCATTGTTCATAAATTGATATGTACCAAACCTTTGTATTTCACAAGGATCCCAAAGCATGTTGATTGTTACTAGCTCAATGCGCTTGTTGTTTTTTTTTCCTGACTTATGACATTTTGATGTGTTAGCCAGACCCCGTTTTGTGCAATTGGAAAGCTGGTGGCAAATTTTGAAGTCATTTCTTACTTGTTCTGACCAGACATACTCAAGAAGAGGAAGTAAACAAAACAAAAAGAACAGAGTAGAGGACAATGGGAAGAGATGATTCCTAACAAGAAAACTACAAAGTAGAAACCTATCGGATGTGGATACCAACTCTAATGACCATGACATGCACCTGCGGCCTATTCTGTTAAGCAAATCTGATGTTCAACTCTTGTCGTGCCTTTTTACCGTGAAACTGGGCTCCAATGCTCCGCTTATCCAATCTGATTCGCTATCCTTATTCGACTTGTAGTGCCCGAAAGGTTTTCACCATCAAGCCTCTCTCATTTTGGTCTTTCTCTCACCTCGTTATCGCCTTATGGTGCCTGTGAAGGTTTTCACCAATAAGACTCTCTCATTTTTTATTTCTCTCGGTTTACTTTGCCTTATGGTGCCCGTGAGGGCATTTATCATCAAGACTCTCTCATTCTTCATTTCCCTTGTTTGGACTGGAGTGTTGCCCCTGATATGGTTCACCTCTACTCGCTTTACTCGGCGTCTCTCGAAGATTGATCAGAAGGTCTTTCTTTGGACCGTAATGCAGGCTTTTGGACAGGGTTAGGAAGAAAGGGTGTAAAAGGCTCAAAACAATTCAACATGGGTTCAAAATTACAACTTTCGGAATCAGATTTCTTACAACAACCACAACTTCTGCCCCAGTTTCTTTCTTGGGGACTTTTGAATTTTATTTTGGTATGACTGAACCTCAGAGAGAGGCTGCCTACGTACCCTTTCGGGATCAAGTCAAACGTAGTTCAGGAGATAAAACTACGTTCGTTGTTGCGATCTTGCCTTTTCTTCCACTTTTCTTTTCTTTCTTTTCATTTCTTTTCCTTTTCTTTTCTTTTCTTTTCTTTTCTTTTGCTTTTTTTTTCTTTTTTTTTTCTTTTTTTTTTCTTTTTTTTTTGTTTTTATTCCCTATTCTCTTTCTTCTTTTCTTTTTTTTTTCTTTTTCCTTTCTTTTCCCTTTTCTCTTCCTTTCTCTTCTTCTTTTTTCTTTCTTTTCTTTTCCTTTTTTCCCTTTTCACTGTTTTTTCTCTTGTTTCTCCATTTTCTTTCCCCGCTCGGGCTTACGAGTTTTATTATTGATTCCGAAAGAGGGGTATGCAAGAAAATAACCGAGGCTCAAAGGGGTAACAANCCCATTTATATCAATTGTTGCGGCGTGCAACCCGATCCATTTATATCATTGTTGCAGCGTGCAACCCGATCCATTTATATTATTGTTGCGGCGTGCAACCCGACCCACATATAATATTGTTGCGGTGCGCAACCCGATCCAAATATACAATCAACAACAATCATAACAAGAGTCTCGGCAAGGGATCAATAAAGAACTACACTATCCCGGCAAGGGAGTCGACAGTATAAGTAAATACGTCCCGACAAGGGAGAGTCAGCTATAACCAATCTTCTTCCAACATCTAACTACCTCAACAAACACCAATACTCAATCATCAGTAATTTTCACGAGAACAATTTTAATCCTTGCTCAATACCGAGAATCATCAATTTAAGCATCCGTAGTATTATTTAAGAACAAAATAAATTACAATTTAAGACTCATGGTCATGCTTGACGCCAACGTATAGATACTCGTCACCACGCCTATACGTCGTACTCAACAAGAAGCAAGTAGCAAATAGGACACAACTCCTAATCCCTCAAGCTAAGGTTAGACCAAACACTTACCTCGAACTTCCACGGCCAACTCAAGCCTCAAACACCGCTTTTCCTTTTGAATTTGGCTCCAAATCAATCGTGTCTAGACATAATCGACTTAATAACATCAATAAACGTTAAACAATCCAATTCCGATTCTTAATTATAGCTTTCCTATCATTCTTTCCAAAATGTCAAAAATTGACCCCGGGCCCACTTGGTCAAAACACGAGGTTCGGACCAAAACCCGATCACCCATTCACCCACAAGCCCGAATATATAATTAGTTCTAAAATTCGACCCCAAAACAAGGTGTAAATCCCAAATATATAAAAAGCCCTAACTCTACCCAAATCCCTAATTTTCTACCCTTAAGAACATGATTTAAGCTTAGAAATCTAATGGCTGTTAATGGAAATTGAAGAAAATGAGTCTAAGATTACATACTATGAATTGGTTTTGGAATCCGACCTCAATTTGAGGTCTAACTCCCCAAATTTCGATATTCTTAGGTTTTTCCCAAAGTTCCCAATTCCACCATGAAAATCCTAGATTCTTGGATGAGATCTTGTAAAAAGAAGTTAAGGAGTAAAGAAAATGAGTTAGAAATCACTTACCAATATTTTGGAGAAGAAAGGTTGTTTGAAAAATCGCCTCTTATGTTTTTGGAGTTTTGAAAAATAACTGAAAATCCCGTTTAAATATACCCCTCTCATACCCCCTGTGCGGACCGTACAAAATCGAGCGCGGCCTTACAGCTCTCCATATGGACTGCAGTGACATGATTTAGTATTTTGGCCATAACTTTCTCTACAGATGTCCAAATTATGATTTATTTACCTTTCTGGAAACTGGACACGAAGGGCTACAACTTCTATTTTTTAATCATCTCAAAATTCCTTGTAGATCAAAAGATATAGGCTTTCGAAGTCGGACCAGTGAACCTTTGCGGACCGCACAAAATCGAGTGCGGCCGCACAGCCCCCACCGCGGACAACACCAAAACCAATGCGGTCAGCACTGGCCGGTTCAGAGAATTGCACTTCTCTGAACCTGCATCATCCATGTTTTAAGCCTAAGACATCCCGGAACCTACCCGAAACTCACCCGAGCCTTCGAAATTCCAAACCAAGTGTGCATACTAACTCAAAGACATCATAAGGACCTACTTGTGCGATCACATCATCAAAATAACACGTAAAATCATGAATTAAACCTCAAAAGTCAACATTTTCATCAAGAACTCTCAAAGTTCATAACTCTTCAACCGGAAGTCCAACTCACGTCAAATAAATTCCGTTTTTTCACAAAATTTCACAGTTATCTTTCAAATACTATAACAAGTTTGTACCGGGCTCCGAAACAAAAATACGGGCCCGATAACAATGGTTTCAAACATTAATTCTTTTCTTTATTTCTTAGATAATTCAGTAAAACAATTTCTTTCAAAAATTGATTTCTAAGGCTTGGGACCTCGGAATTTATTTCCGGACATACGCCCAAGTCCCATATTTTACTGCGGACCTCCGGGGATCGTCGGAACACGGATCCGGGTCCGTTTTCTCAAAATATTGACCAAAGTCAATCATAATTAAATTTTAACTCTAGAAATTTCTATTTCTCATATTTTCACATAGAATGCTTTTCGGATATAGGTCCGGACCATGCACGCAAATCAAGGTGAGGTAAGAAAGAGGTTTTTAGGCCTCTGAACACTGAATTTACTTGCAACACAAGTGAAGACCTTTTGGGTCATCACATAGATTGAAAGACTTGAGTTAGAAATCACGTACCTATGATTTGGAGAAGTTTGGGTCTTTGAAAAGTCGCCTAGGGAGGTTTAGGGTTTGAGAGAACTGAAAAATGGGTGAAAATCCAGTCTAAGTCCAAACCTATCAACTACAGATGTTGCAATTGCGACTGGAGCTTAGCATTTGCGAAGCTCGCAAATACGAGAAAAGTATCGCAAATGCGAACCCCCTCACATTTCTGCTGCCTTCACAAATGCGAAGGAAGTTCGCAATTGCGAAACTCGCCCTCAGCAAATGCGGCTAAAAGATCGCATTTGCGACCAGTCCCCTCCCAGCTTTTACTTCGCAATTGCGAAGGGTTCTTCGCAAATGCGAAGACTGTTGGCCCAGATACTCTTCGCAATTGCGATGAGTTACTCGCAATTGCCACACTGACAGGCCTCGCAATTGCGAACTCTGGTCTCGCAATTGCGAGATCAGAGGCCAACACCAGAACTGAAACCTGCAACAATTTGTTTTTCCTAAGTCCAAAACACTCTGTAGCCTATCCAAAACTCACCCGAGCCCTCAGGGCTCTAAACCAAACATGCATACAAGTCTAAAAACATCATACGAACTTGTTCGTGCGATCAAATCGCCAAAATAACATCTTAAACAACGAATTTAACAATGAAACTCATAAATTTTACTAGATAGTTCAAATTTCTGTTTTCTCAACCAAGGGTCCGATTTATATCAATTTTCTTTCGTTTTTCACCAAATTTCACAAATACGACTTAAATACTATATCAAACTTGTACCCGGTTCCTGAACCAAAATACGGGGCCCGATACCAACGAGATTACACACTATTCTATTTCTAAAAATGCTTATATTTTCCAGCAAATAATTTTCTTTAAAAATTCATTCATCGGGCTAGGGACCTCGGAATTTGATTCCGGGCATACGCCCAAGTCTCATATTTTACTACGGACCCTACGGGACCGTCGGAACACGGGTCCGGGTCCGTTTACCCAAAACGTTGACCGAAGTCAATTTAATTCCATTTTAAAGGCAAAATTTAGCATTTTTCTCAAATATTCACATAAAGGATTTCCGGATATACGCCCAGACCGCGCACGCAAATCGAGAAGAGACAAAAGGAGGCTTTTATGGTCTCGAAATACAGATTTGACTTCCAAAACAAGAGATGACCCTTGGGTCATCACACAAATCTAGGTTAATTGCGATTTATAAGTCACAAGTGTAAATACCTTCTATTTGACCCTGCTTGGGAAGTTCCTGGATCTGAAATTCTCACCAACTTTTTCTCGTGATATCGTAACATAAATAGGAGAATTCATTGGTTTTCTTCATATTACCAAACACAATCTCCCCTTCGTAATACGCGCGAAAACAAAGTATTCGCTCTTCAGCTAATTCTCTCTCTCTTTCCATTTGATGAACGCGACAACGATTTACAAGTCCCATTCGATAGAACACAAATGCGAGCGAATGCGATTGTTAGTTGGAACAGGAATGCGACTTATAAGTCGCAATTGAGGAATGCGATTTATAAGTTGCAATTGAATAATGCGATTTGTAAGTCGCAAATTGTAATACTATTTATAAGTCGCAATCTTTGAATTCTATTTACAGGTCGCATGTGTAAAAGTCACACGTCACAAATTCGAAGTGTACCATCAATAATATTTGTGATGTTTCTATGTATTATGATCATCACATGAAAACATATTGTATGTAGGTCGCCAAATGAATAATGACTTTACTTGCAACCTATTCGACTTTTTGCGGCGACATAGTAAACATTGAATGACAACTAAAGTTACTACAAAATATAAACAATTATGCAGGGAAAAAATAAATTTTAGGTAGATCGCCAATAATTAATTACTTTAATGGTAACCTATTCGATTTTTATTTTAACTATAGTTGCTACAACATCAAAATCGATGCCGGCAGCTATGATGATGGTATCCTCGAATTTCGATCGCTCAAATCAATTGAATAGAGCTCATATTGTGGCTGGAAAAGTTCCTATAACTAGGAATCTAAACCCCTCCACTCAATCGGGAAAATCTCCAACTCAAATCCTTCTGGTGTGCAAGCCAACAATGGGGGAAATAGTAATGAAATCCCTAGCAAAACACCCCAAATTATCTCCAAACCCTCCTTTGCTGCCTCTGTTTCTACATCTTTAGCTCGTTGAAATCAAGCATGGAACCTATATGGGTAAGCCATCTATCTATTTCACAGCTCAATTCGGCAGAAGTTCAAGCTCTTGTCTAGCATGGTGTTTAAAAAATGGCTTCTCCAAGGTGATAGTGGAGTCTGACTCACTCTTTATTATTCAGATGATAAAAGGAGAAGTCAAAAGCTCGTGGCAAATTCAAGATGACATTAAACAAGTTCAAAACATGAGTCTCATAGCACAAGTTCAATTCAAGCGCATAAATACAGAGAGGGCAATGTTGCCAATTTTGTTGAATCTACCAAAAGAAACACCTTCTTCACAGAGGCTATAAATCTACCTCAAGTAATATCCACTATGATGAATGGTGAGAAGGGTAGACCTAACTTCAGAATTCGAGTTAAAATTTTTTATGTATATACTAAAAGGTTTACTTGGTTCATTTTTTGTGAGCCTCAGTGTACAGGAGAATCCCTCCGCCAAACAACTTGCAGTTTAAACTTGGTGATGATAATTGGAAAAGTTTCCCAATGGTAAGAGGCTTGCTACATAAGCGTAAATGCCTTCTCTTCCACCATATTTGGGAAGTCCCTACATCTCAAATGCTTTCAAACTTTTTCTCGTGATATCATAACATAAATAGGAAAATTCATAGATATTCTTTATCTTAGCAACAAACACAATCTCCCCTTCACAATGCGCGCGAAAACAAAAAAATTCCTCTTTAACTAATTCTCTCTCTTTCCATCATAACGGGAAGGCAATAACATGCTTCTCCCATCTTTCTTGCGTCTTTTCTAAAATCCACAAATTCATGTAACGACCAAAATTCAGCGTATAATCTATGGTGGCTAATTTTCCTTGAACTTCTATCGGGTTATAATAAGGTAGGTTGTAATTTATAGGTAATATCCACGACCGTATAATCCTGAAATTTTCAGATTTAACATCAAAAGCAACTATATTTCTCGAATCGCAACTCAACTGATAGATAACACCATTCACACAAATTCCATTGCTGGGTCAATAGAAATCGGCCGTACTTTTAGCCTCTCTCCATGATTCATCTATCCCTAAAGTGAAAATCCAATTTCTTGTGGACATTGCTTCAATATTAACTGTCATCAAAAGCATATACTTCTTTTCTTCTGGGTCAAAACCTAATGAAACGAAGTATATAGGGAAAAGGTCATCCAAATCAACAGTGTGATCTTTCAGTTTAGGAAGAATTCTTACTTCTTTTTTGCTGGGATTGAAAATTGCAACTGATGGTTGCTCATACGCGTTACGATTCCATATGCAAAATAAACCATCAACGCACATTATGCGGCACCCATAATAGTATAGCTTATCAAATTGCTCAATACGGAGAAGTGAGGCTTTCCCATCTTCTTCTTTTTGCTCTATGGTGTAAAAAGCTTTGCGTTCATGAACAAGGAATGTGGTTCCACCAGGACGAGTCATAGAGCGACATTGATGGATATCATGAAAAATTGAATTTGATGCAATAAGAGAATTACATGATTTTGAAACACACCTGAAACGCATTAAAGGCTTTACTGGAAGATTCGAAAATATTTCAAAGATTATTTCTTGAGGAATTGACCATGTTTTTGTGGCATTGTCCATCTTCTTCACGGTGTAAAAGGCGGCACAAGTTGTGTCCATGCCTTATTAATGTTTGGCAAACCTTATTCTACCATATAATTAGGAAAATATAAATAGAAAAACTTTTGCTTCTCCTTATAATACAAACTGGACTTGAAAAAGGATACACGGTATCAAAAACTTTTCTTAGTATTTATTTTTAAACACCTGTCTTGTTAATTTTTCCTTTTCCTTCTTTGAGTCATATTAATTAAAAATATGGAATAATGTCTCACATGGAAAAAAGTCAAGTGGGCCAGCGGGGACGAGTTTAGATTTTTTGGCCGTAAAGATAAAAGGGATAGATTTGGAATTTTAATTTTTATAAAATAGTTTTTCGCAAGGGGCCTAAAGCCAAAATTTAATGGAGGCCTTAAACTTAAAAAGAAAATCTTAATTTATTTGAAGTCTATTTTTTTTTAGCTTTGTGAGATGCAAACTTATTTTTTGTTACAATCTATTTCTTCTAATTTTTCTTTTCAATTGATAATATAGCTAATTCGTTTAATATTTCTTGCGATATTGTTGCTCTTAGGTAAGTCTAAACCATTTAACACTTTAAATCCAGAAAATAATTCTAAATCGTCAATATTAGAGTGACTATTATGTTTTAAGAAATATTGAAGAACATACGCTTTAAATGGGTTAAATCTATTCTGAAGTGAACTTGGCTTGGTCTACCATATATAAGAAATAATCAACTCAAATGCAATAATAACTAGAGAAATTTAGATATACCACAACTTTCTCTCTCAATAACTGTTTCTCTCGGCGCTCGTTTAGGTGAATCTACTAACGCGCGCTGCTCACCGGAATGGGAGGGCGAGGAAGACCACGGAAGTGGGTGAATAAGGTACTGATTACGGATCCCAAGCTGCTCGAGGAACTGAAGATAGGAACAGAAAGTGGAATATCACCAGGTGGAGGAAATCTCCATGGATCTGCTGCAAAGCAAACAACAATGGATAAGGAAAATCAATCGAACAAACAGGAATTGGAGGTCACGCCTATAGCTGGGAAGGGGAAATCAATTGTGGATATGGATGAATCAAGCATATGCAGGAAGGCTAACAATGGTGACGGTACTAACTGCCATGCAGGGGGTACCTCTGGGGTAAAAGATGTGCAAACTCAGAGTAGTGGTTCTGGCAATAACGGATCTAACAACAAGGAGAATGAAGATACTCAAAAGATAGTAAGAAATGGAAGTTTGCCAAAGGATAATGGAAATACGCAAACCCGGGCAAGTGTAGTTACAGGAAGTAAGATGGCTTCAAAAGGCATGAATCTGAGATATATTCCACCAAGCATCCAGGAAGGGAAGACAATTGTGAAATTGGAGCAGGAGGATATAGAAGAGGAGAGTGACAAATGGAAAATGGTTATAATTCTGTATGTTATTGGAGACTCACCATCGATAGGAGCAGTGGGGAGATTTTAGTAACACGGTGGAAGTTTGTAGAGAAGCCTCAAGTTTATTACCATAATGATGATTACTTTGTCATCCAATTCAAAAGCATAGAAGACAGAGAGAAGGTGTTGTTATCAAGCCCAAATACAATCGACCATAGACCTGTGATAATGAAGGAATGGTCGGTGGACTTTAATTTTCAGAATGAAGTGCTTAAAACCATACCAATTTGGGTGAAGTTTCCTAAACTTCCTCTAAGCTGCTGGGGTGTGAAGGCACTAAGTAAAATTAGTAGTGGTTTAGGTACCCCTGTATATGCAGATGAGTGCACCACCAATATTGCACGTATATCATATGCAAGGGTCCTTATTAAAATGGATATTACTAGATCACTTCGTAAGAGCATTTTTGTACAAGACCCCAAGGGAGGGGTATTTGAACAGGAAGTGCAATATGATTGGGAGCTTGAGTATTGTGCATCATGTCTGCAAATAGGTCACAATTGCAAGAGTACAAATGTGCAGAAGCAGCCAGTACAAGGCCAAAGAGAAAAATAGGTAAAGCCTATGCAAATTTGGATGAGAAGTGATCAAGTGAAGATAAGTGACAAAAAGAATGAACAAATACAGAAAACAAATGGGCAAGCAATTGGTGGAAAAGATGCTGAGAATAAGGGGCAGGTCAATGAAACAGTACCACAAGCAGAAGGCTGGACAATGGTGCAAAACAAAGTCAGCTAACAAAATGGCCAAAAATGGAGGTAACATAGATAGAGAGGTAGATACAACTAATGGTTTTAGCTCATTAGCAAGGTGGGCTGATGAAGGCCAAGTCATAGTAATATAGCAAGATAAACAATATGAAAGGGGACAGAGTAGACAAGGGGATGCAGGTAGTCAAGACCATTTCCCTCCATTACTAAGATAAAAGTTATCACTTGGAATGTGAGGGGAGTGAACAAGGTATATAAGCAAAAGGAGTTAAGGGAGTTTATCAAGGTGAATAAAGTTAATGTCACACCTATTATTTAACATAGAGTAAAGGAATGTAAAGAGGGGCAAGTGATAAACAAAATAGTACCTACATGGGAAGGGATCTCAAACACTTCTTTGCATAATAAGGGGAGAATATGGCTATTATGGGATCCAAAAGTTGCTATAGTAAAGGAAATCAGTGTACATAGTCAATACATACAAGCTGAAATCAACTGTGCTGCCAATGCAATGACATATCACTTTACTGCTGTTTATGGCCTCCATACAGTGTAGGATAGAAAGGAATTATGGAGGAAGCTTAGAGAGATAGAAAGCAGACAACAAGAACCATGGCTAGTAATGGGAGACTTTAATGCTATTCTTGAGGTAGAAGACAGGGTAAATGGAACTGTGGTGCAAGACCATGAGATAAGGGATTTTAGAGAATTTGTAGAAGATGCTGGTATGACTGAACTAAAGGCAATAGGCAGGTCATTTACATGGACAAATAGTCATGTTTTTAGCAAAATTGACTGGGCAGTAGTAAATGGAGAGTGGATGAACAAGATGCCTCATATTCAAGTTCATGTTCTAGACCCTTATTTTACTGATCACTCGCCTTTATGTATTGAATTGGGAAGAAACAGAAGGAAACAACTAGACCATTCAGATTTATGAATTGCTTGACTGATAATCCTAACTATGGGAAGATAGTAGCAGATAATTGGCAGATAAATACCAATGCAGGATACATGAAAAAAGTCTGGCTTAAGCTGAAGCATATGAAACAAGCAATGAAGGGCTTGAATGCAAAGGAGTATTCTGGGGTTGCTGACAAAATTAAAGGCATCAGGAATGGGCTTCAAATAATACAACAACAGATGAGAACTCCTAATCATGATTCCCATAATTTTGAAGTGGAAAAAGAGCTAAGGTTACAGCTAGAGAAATGGGATGTAGTAGAGGAAAACATTTATAAATAGAAGTCTAGAGTCCAATGGCTTAAATTAGGAGAGTCTAACTCAGCTTATTTTTTTGCCAGCATAAAGAACAGGAGAGCTCAGAACCAGATCAAAGCACTTACAAATGCAATAGGGGATATTGTCCAAACAGAGAAAGGAATAGAAGAGGAGATACTAAACTTCTATCAGGGATTACTTGGGACTGAAAATCCTATACTACCTGCTGTAAATTAAAATGATATGAGGAGGGGACTTGTGCTTTCAAGGAAGCAACAAATGCAGCTTATCTAGCCATTTAATAGAGAAGAAGTTTGGCAAGCACTTCAGGGGATAGATGATAACAAAGCTCCAGGGATAGATAGTTTCAATTCACTATTCTTCAAGAAAGCATGGGTCACGATTGGAGATGTGGTAGCTGAAGCTGTTTTGGAGTTCTTTGATACTCAGAAGCTTTATCAACCGATAAATTGTACATCTATAACACTGGTTCCTAAGATTAAAAACCCCACATCAGTGAAACAATATAGACCTATTTCTTGCTGCTCCACACTATAGAAGATCATCTCCAAAATGCTTACTAGTAGACTACAGGGAGTCATGGATAGCATCATTGATAAGAGTCAAGCTGCATTTTTTCCTGGCGGACTTATTACATATAATATTCAGTCATGAGCTAGTGAAAGGATATGGGGAGGAAAGGGGTGTCACCAAGATGCATGATCAAAATTGACATGCAAAAAGCCTATGTCTCTATTGAATGGGTGTTTGTAGAGCAAGTTTTACATGCACTTAACTTCCCAAATACATTTGTGAGCTGGATCATGGTGTGTATATCAACAGTATCATACTCTGTTATTATAAATGGTAAACCAAGTGTTCCCTTTTCTACCAAGTGTCGCCTTTCCTATTTGTGATTGCCATGGAATACCTTAGTAAATCATTAAAGACTTTGGCAGAAACACCAGATTTCAACTATCATCCTAGATGTGATAAACTGGACATAATACAACTGGGGTTTGCAGATGATTTGCTGTTGTTTTGTAGAGGGGATGTGGTATCTACTCACAGCTGTTATACAAACAATTTTAGCAATTCTCTATGGCTTCTGGATTAATTGCAAATCAAGGGAAGAGTGTTGTGTATTTTGGAGGGGTACCAGAACAGATTCAAAATAAATTATAAAGGAGTTAGGTTTCTCTGTGGGAACTCTACCTTTCAGATACTTGGGAGTGCCATTGAGTTCAAAAAGGCTAACTATTGGACAATGCCAGCCACTTTTGGAAAGGATGGTGGGGAGAGTGACTTCATGGACAGCAAAGATGCTATCTTATGCAGGGAGATTGCAGTTGATTAGAAGTGTGCTTATAGCTATTCAGCAATTCTGGTCACAAATTTTCATATTACCAAAGAAGGTGATACAAAAGATTGAACAAATATGCAGAAGGTTCTTATGGAATGAGAATAATGAATGTTCAAAGAAGGCCTTAATAGCATGGGATAAAATTTGCTTACCAAAATCAGCAGAGAGCCTCAACATAGTGGATATATACACATGGAATAAAGCTGCTATTCTTAAACATTTCTAAAACTTATGCAAGAAGAAAGATAGGTTGTGGGTACAAGGGTTGCATAGTTACTGTCACACCTCCTTTTTTACTACACCCCCGCAAAGGG